GAATGCGGACACAGATACGATAACAGCGAAACGCATCAATCAAGCGTTACAGCTGCTCGAATACTCAAAGCAACGCAATGAGGAGCTGCGTCAGATGATCGAGAAGCTTTCGAGGTGAGTAAATAGAGTAAGGATCTGAGACAAGCATTAGTGGCGAATTCGAGCTATGTAGTGCCTTTTTTGGCACCCAAGAAATCCAACGGGGATTCAAGCCTTGATTCCGCCATCGACATCCCATCTACTTTTTTCATAGCTCGCTTAAGCTAGCTTGTTTTTAAAAGCCATTTCATGATTGAAATTTTTTAAAATCTCTAGAGCTTATCGAACGATCAGAGTGCCAAATCCTAAGTAATTGGAAACTTTCTAAGAATCGCGCTTTTATAGACAAAGAAGACCACATATGTCGTCGTGTGAACCGGGCTGCATTGTTGTTCTACACAACAAACAAATTCAATGCTTTTTCATTCTTGCACTCCAGCTGCACACGCGCCAATTGTTTGGGGATTAAGTACCCTGCGACTCCCTCTTCAGCTAGGTGTCGCACACGATTGCTTGCTCTCCCGTTTGAATAGCACAATACCGACAGGCGTCCGCCCTATGCCGCGCTTATGGTGGCTCGCTTGTCATTATGGCGGCGTAAGTGGTCTTCACAATTGTGGTCTGGTTGTGTGCGACAGATTACATGCGATCAAAGTTTTGTTGTGCCATGTAAAATGCCCGCTGATTAATGCAGTGCAGCGTTACGGTAATTGCGGGGGTAGTTGTACAGCGATTTCTAAACGCTTTGAATGGTCAGCTAATTGAGCTACAATGCAGCCGTGATGGCTTTGAATGTAATCGCACGACTTCGACTAAAATGGTCATGTGTGTTCGCGCAAATGCTATGTCCACTAAGATTAAAACAAACTGTTAAGAGCATCTATTTTTCTTCTTACTCCCTGCTTAGCGACCAGATCGATAAACAATCAGCACAGCGCCTCATCGAAAAGCTCGAATTTAATTTACAAAATTCAATAAACGTACAAAATCAGGATGCATTGGCAGATTTTATGGGCGCCGGTGATGGAGATAGCGGTGCGGACACTTTCGGCGTTATGCCGGTACCCAATTCAATTGCTCAGAGTGCGGCAGGCGGCGACCATGAGCCCAGCTTGGAATATGAGCTGCTGCGTCGACGCATCGAATCGAATGTTGGCGAAATATGGAACTACTTCAGCAGTGAATTGGGCAAGTTGCGCAAGCGCGCCACGCCAACGCAGGCCGAACTAACGCAGGACATCAATCAGGTGTTGCAGCTGGGCGCTGAACATAAGCGCTCGTTGCTGAATGATATAGATCGCCTGCGACAAGTGGATGGTTATGAGGCGTGGCGCCGGCAGGAGGCGAGGGATTTGAGTGATTTAATGCAGCGGCGCCTACACTACTTGCAGAATCCGAAAGACTGTACGAATGCGCGTAAGCTAGTATGCAAACTCAACAAGGTAAGAGCTGTGTGTTGGAACACTGGCTCTGTTTTGTCAACTGAAATATTCTGTTTATGCAGGGCTGTGGTTATGGCTGTCAGCTGCATCATGTTGTTTACTGTTTCATTGTGGCCTATGCGACGGAGCGTACCATGATATTGAAGTCGCGCGGCTGGCGTTACCACAAAGGTGGATGGGAAGAGGTTTTTCTGCCCGTATCGGAGACCTGCTTGGACGCAGATGCTGCGCACGCGAGTAATTGGCCAGGACGTCATGACATGCCTGTGCTGGTACTACCCATCATTGATTCGCTGATGCCGCGTCCACCGTTTCTGCCTTTAGCCATACCTGAGGACTTGGCACCGCGGCTCAGGCGCCTGCATGGCGATCCGATTGTCTGGTGGATAGGACAGTTCTTGAAGTACTTGTTGCGTCCGCAAAAAGGCACATTGGAGTTCCTAGAATCGGGTCGTGCGAAATTGGGCTTCAAGAAGCCTATTGTGGGGTAGGTCTATATATGCCCTATATTTAATTTTTCTGCATTAATAATAAAACTCTTGTACAGCGTTCATGTGCGCCGCACCGACAAAGTCGGCACCGAAGCCGCCTTCCATCGCATAGAGGAGTATATGACATACGTCGAGGACTATTTCCTCACTTTGGAAATTAATGGTACCATAGTGCCGCGCCGCATTTTTCTTGCTTCTGACGACGCGCGTGTCATCGAGGAGGCGCGCAACAAATATCCCCAATACGAGATCATCGGCGATCCCGAGGTGGCGCGTATGGCCGCCGTCTCCACGCGTTACACCGACACCGCGCTCAACGGCATCATACTCGACATACATCTGCTATCGCTCTCCGATTATCTCGTCTGCACATTTAGCTCGCAAGTATGCCGCATGGCCTACGAAATTATGCAAACACTATATCCGGATGCGGCGCACCGTTTCAAATCGCTGGACGATATCTACTACTATGGCGGTCAGAATTCGCACAATCGGCAAGTGGTGATCGGTCATGCAGCGCGCAATCAATTTGAAATCCATATAAAGCCAGGCGATCTGGTAGGCGTCGCTGGCAACCACTGGGACGGCTATTCCAAGGGCCAGAATACGCGCACAAAACAAGCGGGACTCTTTCCCTCGTTCAAGGTGGTCGACAAGGTGGAAACCGTCAAGCTGCCGCTCTACGAGCAGGTGCAGCAGGGGCGGCTGTGAGCGTAAATGGAACGAGAAAATGCATATAAATCAAATTTATGTTTTTCTTGGGGTCAGTGTATGTAATTTATTTTATGTTACATTTTTTTATGTAAGCATAAATGTTTTAGTGCTGTGCAATAATATTCTGCTAGATGCTAGATTTTAGTCAATACTTATACACATAATATAAAAAGTAATGCAAGTATATATATATATTTTTATATAAAATTTCCGATATGTGACCAAAGCTCAACCGACTTTGGCTTTTAATTTTGCATTCGAATCTCTATAATTGTATAATTCATAGACAAGCTGCACAAAATCGTTAGTGTAATATTTTTTAAATAATTTTTTGATTGGAAATCATGTGTATTTATTTTGAAAATATTTATATGTTAGTAATTAGGTAGTTGTAAGTATGTTAAAGTAAGCAGAAACCAAATCAACTGAAGTTTTATAAAAACAAAAACCTATCTATCATAAAAGCCACAATAATAAAAAATACAAAAAACTAGATTACGTTGTTAAGTACGGTAAAACATAGAACCGGCAAGACTAAAACACTCGAATATCCGATTAATCGATTAACCAATACCGTTAGTATACACAAATTGCCCGGTTTCACATACTTCAAAGCTGAATTGCACGAAAACGTTCAAATAAATTGCAATAGCTTTATCAAAGCAATATTCCAGTGTTGAGCTTAGCATTTAGAAAATAGTGTTACGCTGCGTTGACGACTGTATGTTTGACAAACCGGTTTTTTAGAATATAATTTGACCCGTTTGCAGAAATACAATAAAGATAGTGTTCAAAAAAATACTAACAAAGTATTGCGTCAGGCTAAGTAATATGAATCTCTGTATTTCACTTTATTTTATAATTATTTTTATTTGTTGTCTGGTTGCGAAGCACAATACGTTTTAAAACGTGAATAGTATATTAAAAAAAATTGCACATACTTTTAATAACAGATTCTTAATTTAAAACTTTATACCTTAAGTATAATTACTAAATAATAAGTACAATTAAAACCGAAAAAAGTCTTTTATTTGCCGAAAGGACAGACACTAACTGCTAATTCAAAATTCTATACCGTTAGTTTTCGTTTGATTTTCGGGCATCGCCAAAGTACCATATTTTTTATTTTCCATTTAATTATAAACATATTATTATTATTACACTCAGTCTTTTTCTTAAATTCCTGTTTTATTTGCTGAAATTGGCATTAACGGTTATTCGAATAGCTTTCATTTCAAACAATATTAGTTACTTTCAAAAACGATCGGCAATTTTAACATAAATTGTTTACAGTTCATTGTTCAATATCATAACTGTAATCTCAAAATTTTTTTTAAAAGCAAAATTAATCAACAAATTTTGAAAAGTAACGTTTTAAGCAATTTGAAATCATCATTGTGAACGCTGTCTAAGACCACCCTGTGCTAGCCAGTTGACAGTTACGCTTTCATAATTCATTCGTGTAGTGGCGGTCAAGTGCGCGTTTAACTTATCGAGAATTTCTTATATTTACGAGTATATAATGTGGTAAAAATAATAGAAAATATTTAAAATAATGTAAACAACGTGTAAAGTTTAGTGTTAATGGGTTTTTAATAAAAATGCAAGTATGGGAAAAGGGGTGAGCTGGCCACGCTTTGGCGGGTTTAAGTGTGCAAGTGAATAAACAAAAGTGAGAAATTTGTTGATTTGAAGTTGTAATATTCATATTTGTAAGTTAAATGTAGTGAATGAAGGTGCAGTGTTTTTAAATATACAATTATTAAATGTAAAAATTAAGAATAAATGCAAGAAAAGCAATCAAGGACAATGCCGCTGTGACAGCTTCGTGAAGGTGAATGCAATGACAGGTAAGCTATTGTTGTTACACATGTTTTGTTTATTTTGTTTAAGGATTGAGTTGAATTAGAACGTAATAAAAGCCACGTGCTTTTCTGTATACTTTATTTTAACTGAAATTAATATAATTATTTCAAATATCCCACCTTATTTTAGCATAATTAGTTAATAATGCATAAACATAAAAAAGTCAACTGCTGCTAAAAATTGTCTGCTGATTAGAATCTATTAAAATTATTTTATTTTATAGTATAACCCAAAAAAATCGTTTTTTCTGAATGAATGAATGTGAATGTGAATGTTCTGGTCTTAAAGCTAAAGTGGCTTGAAATAATGTAAAACCCCTGCAACCGTTCCCCACAGCGAAAGACGAAATGTCGAACTTTAATAATATTAGATAAATAAAATAATTTTTATTTGTTGTGTTTTAAATTATACACACAAACAAGAACTACAGTTAGTACTTTGCGAGACTCTACTCCAGTCCCAAACGCTCTCTAATGCCCATTTTCTTGATTAGCGTGTACAATGAGAAAGAGAACTTTGCGATCTGCTTTAAATACTCAATCAATTAATGAAATATTTTTTGGTTCAAAAAGGAACTCACATTAAGAAAACTGCCCAGCGTTATGGGGAATATTTTGCCCGCATTGAGTTCCATCACACGTTGCGTGCGCTGCATAAAGAAAACCAGCATTTTTCTAAAACGCACATCCTGTGCAATCCAATTGGAGTGAAATATCTGTTGCGACAAGCGTTCGCTGTCGTCCATGAGACACTGCGCAAAGTAGCATAGCGGAAATATCTCAACAACGACCGCCAGTATGTAGAAACAGCATGCGATCTGCGCCGACAGCCGATCGGCGAATATGAAGATGTTGATGAGCGTGGCGCTCAGTATGCTAGCGGTGATCATGAACTGTATAAAGATTGTAACGGAAATTATGGGCGCTACAACGTCGTAGAGCCTATAACGAATATACGCATGAATAATGAGTACATTGGTGCGCCTATAAACTCACCCTAACAGGTTCTTATGATCAATTATACAAAGCTTCAATTCTTCTAAATTCTCCTCCAAATTCGTTTCGGCATTGGTGGCCAACCTTTTGAGGCGCATCAATAAAATACGCATATGCGTACGCAGTATGCACACATAAATGACGGCATAAGAGTCGTCCACAACCTGTTGAAAGCAGGCGACATCCATGAGTGCGAATTCCATGAGCGATGCTGTTATGAACTCCAGCTTTGACTTGCGCCAGTCAATAACGGGATTGTACAAAGCATAAGGCGGTCGTCCAAAAATGACCGAGCCGAGGAATGTGCTCGACGCATAACTCCAGTATGACATGGCGAAGAGTACGACGAAACGATTACCCTGTTGAACAATTTTTCGCAACTCAGCGATTTCTTCTTCAACGCGACAGCGTGCATCCAAACGATCCATATAAACGTTTGCGATGCGCAATTTTGGCAGCAAAAAAGCCATGACCACTATTTTTACCGAACAACCAATCACGTTTATAGCCACTTGAATGGAGGTGAGCAAGCTGCTCGGCACCAAGTCTTCAGTGGACATGGTAGCATAACTGAAGACGAACGATAGCGGCAACCAAATGGTTACCAGAGTATTCGGTATGAGAGAGTATAGTGAGTAAAGCCATTTACGACGTTCAGGCATGTAAATGCCCAGCAAGCGAAATCCTTTGAAAAGATAGTTGGTTGCTTGTACGGTGCGCACTGCTGGCTTATCCGTCGTCTCTGCTGAAGATATGTGCAATAAATGCTAGTTAAAAGACGGCAAAAAGTGCGATCTGTTATTACTTGCCTGCTCGGCTTAGCGCTGCAATGCTTGCTTCCAAATGGACTGTACTGGATGTTGCGTTGGCCATAATTTTGGCAAATTCTTAAGTTCGAAAGCATAACCGGACCTTTGAATGCAAACTATTTATAGCAAATTCACGTCGTACTAATGGAATCTCTTGTAGGATGAATTAGTAATAACTTCAAAAGTTTTCAAGTTTATGTAAAGGGTGTGGGAGCTTAGAGAACGGGAGATGAATGGTGAGAGCTAATGCACAATGAGAAAAATTTTCATAAGTATAAAATTTTGAGTGGTATTTGAAAAGATACAGTCGACTTCGGTTCGAGACTTTGCTAATTTTGTTCATACTCATTCGTTTTTTTTATAGCCTTAGGTTTTTGTCTTTTGGCCATGACGAAAGCATTTCAGTTTAAAAGAACACAGCTCTTAACTGATGCGTCGCAATTGGCAGGTCCCAAGCTCATTCCACATTTTTCTCACAGCGTGGTTTAGGATTACCAGGTATTGCTGCTTTTTAAGTAAATGACATTAAATTTTTTCAGTGTAGCTACGTCTAGCTTTTAGCACTTTGAATATTTAATTAAAAATTAAATTTTATCACAATGCTCAGACGATAAACTTTATCGAATCAATTTTTAATAATTTATAAATCAAACTTTTAAACATTTTCGTTATATATTGAGAAAAACACACATTCGTACAATTCAGAAGTGTAATTATTGGATATTTTTAACAACATTTACCGTTATATAACTGTAGTACCGCCTTCGGGAGTTGGTTTTGGCCAATTGAACCATTATTTTCTACTAGAATTTTTTCTTTTTGTAGATTTTGAAGGAATTGCAATTCCATCGCTACATCTTGGAGAACCCTTTAGCTAATTATTTATTGCCTATCACTTAATTTGTAACCAAATGCATAAATAATTGCGTTGATTTACGATTGACAATATTGTCAGGACGAGTGACATGAGGAGCCGAATGTTACGGTAAAAACTGTGACGTGAACGCCCACAATATTATTTCATCAGCTGGAGCATGGGGTATGGATTTATAAAGTGTAATGACCGCTTGTGGGAATCTTTTTTTAAGTTGCATGTAAATTCGCTTGTATATATTAAAAAGCATTGCTTCGAGACGCTACCGAAAGCTGCTGGTATAAAGCTGATTTTTAGTATTCGGCAAACGAAGACGACTACAAAGCGGCGAGTGGTTGTACTAGATTAAAAATATAGTTCCCATTGAGTAGAATGTTAGCTGCGGTTATCCCCGTTAATCTTGTAGAAGTTCTAGTGGTTTCAACATTCGGTTTCAATCTTCGACTGGCTTATTGAGGAAGTTGGCTGTCTATGACCTCGTTAGTTTCCTTGCCATGTATAATTAAGGTACGAAAGAGAGAAATTGCATATATGTACATATATTCGGCCCTTGCGCCGAATTCGTCTATATTGTTCTAAACATTTCGTTACCCTGAATCCTAATTTTTACACCTTTTAATAACTTTGACACGACAAAGTCCTTTGTGCACTAAGATTTATTGGAGCTTGTGTTATAGATAAATAGGTAATTCAATTAAAGCGATAAGACTTCGTGTTATCAGTATTTGGGCGCGGTAATAGCAATCTCTTACTGTGTTAGACAAAGTTGGCAGGTCTGTTCTGAAGGCGCCAGCCAGACGCGTTTTGTTAGGCTTACTGTATGATCTCTTCACTCGATGCCGAATCGTTCCTTCAAATTCATTTTTTCGATGAAAGTGTAAAGGGAGAAAGAGAACTTTGCAATCTGAAATCAGAAATCAGACAGAAAAGATATGACGGTGTAGAAAATGTTTCAAATCTTATTTGCATATTAGCAAAATCGCTCACACTGACAAAACTGCTCAGCGTGACGGGAAACAGTTTCCCAGCAGTCAAAAACATGGGACGTTGTGAGCGTTGCAAGAAGAAAATAATTAGTTTGCGATACTCTGCGCTTTGTTCAATCCAATTCGAGTGGAAAATCACGTCCGCCAATTTGTCACTCTCATTGATAAGGCACTGGGAGAAGTAGCAAGCTGGGTAAATCTCTATGAGCACTGCTAGTATGAAGAAGCCACAGGCCACTTGTGTTTGGAACTCATTCGCAAAGATGACAATGTTGATCAGTGTTGTCCCAATACACACGGCCGAGAGCGCGAATTGTATGAAAAGCGTTATCGAGATGATGGGTGCTATAGTGTCATAAAGCCTGGCGCATAACCAAAAATTAATCGTAACAGATTGTCTTATTTAAATGTACGTTGCCCAACTTACTCAATCAACAATTGATGGTCCTTGATGCACAATTTCAATTCACTGAGATGTTCTACCTTCGTCAGCGTTGGATTAGTACCCAGTTTCTCCACACGAAACTGCAAAATTTTCATGTGACAGCGCAACATGTTAATGTAGATGACGGGATAGCCATCGTTTACAGTTTGTTGCAGGCAAGCGAAGTCCATTATAATGAATTCAAGGATTGACGCAATTATAAACTCCGTGTGGGAGCGTCGCCATTTGATAAAGGGAAAATATAACGAATACGGGGGATATCCCGAAGAAACCGAGGCCAGAAACGTGCTGGCCGAGTAGCACAGAAAGACGGTCAAGTAAAAAATAATGACCTTTTTACCAAACCGTACCATTTGTCGCAACTCCTCGACTTCATCCGATGCACGGCAACGCTTATCAAGTAGTTGCGTGAGTTTTTGTGTTGCACGCAGTTTTTCCAATACAAACTTCATTATGATGATTTTTGCCGAACCGCCGTATACGTCGAATGTGACCTGCAGCGAGGTTAGCAAATTGCTAACGTTGACATCGTCTGGCAACGTGAACAATATCAAGGTAAATCCAATGGGAAAATAGAAGGTGGCAAAGAAGTTGATCAAAAACCCATAAATGACGTACAGTGCCCGATAGCGCGAAGGCATGACTAAGCCCATTCCGAAAGCAGATTTGAAGAGATAAATCGTCGTATCTTGGCTACGCACATGATGTTCAGCTGGAAATATAAACTTGCGTTATAACTTGATTAAAGGATTCTGCTACGTTGTGTCTGCACTCACCAGCTTCCTCCTCAATATTTTCACTTAAAGCTTTCGCTGAACTACTGGCTTTAGGCTTTCTGTTGATCTTAGTATCCTGCTGAGTTGCGATTTCATTGTGCATTGCTATTGCAAGTCCGATTTTTGGCATATCAGCAGTGGCTTGTCGCGGTGACTGCCTCATATTGCAGCGAATCTCAGATGTATAATTCGCCAAAGCCAGCCCAAGCGCTTTTATACTCGTATGCATCAATCTTGAAGTGGTAGCCATAAAATGCAGTCAGTTGGAAGAGTCAAAAGGAGCGAAGACTTACTGCATGGTTTTTTTTAATGACTTTTCCTTTCTCACTGTTTACGCATCGTGCGAATTAGCTGGCTTAGGTTTATCCATACTTTCGGTTCTATTGAAATTATGGGCGAAACAGCGAACCAACCCACCAGAACCGGGATATGATTAATGAATTAGCTGTGTAAAACTGCCAGATGTACGGAATTTTTTATATTTCAATTAGTAATTAAAGAATTATGTCACAGCGCTGGTTAGTAGCTGTTTAGCTGCGTGCGGAGAGTAGAGATTGAAAGTTGAATTAGCGCCGGCAACTTTGAATTTTCAGATATTATTTCTAGCTAGATTTGAACTAAAGGATCTACCAACAAGAACGAGGTGTCGTTAAAATGACATAAACACTCAAATTTGGTAAAATTTTTTGTTTTTTTTTGTTATGGATGCCATTTATGATTTCAGAAAAATGTCGACCAAATGGCCACATCGGGTCCGTTTGCATATCTCTACTCCTTTACACTAATTTTCGATGACTCGGTGCAGCATTTCGGCTATAGTGCGTTGAATTTAGTCTTCGAGCTCTTCGACCGTTACTTTTTGATTGGGGCAAACTTTTAAATTAATATATCTCCTGAGAAAATACTCTACTGGCGTTAAGTCTCATGATCTTGCCGGTCAACCAAGCAACCATGTTTAGAAGTGGAACATGAGGCGACGCACCGTCGTGTTGGCCGCCAGAGAACGTGAATTTGCGTAATAATCTTTACACTTCCAAGCCTTGTCCAAAGTGAAAATTGACATGATGAAATGGTAAACCAAACTGATCGCACTGACAAAATTTGACACAAATCCGTATATGACCGACACGAGTTGTCAAAATCACGTCATCCTTATTGGTTGTCGCTCTATTTCGGGTCGGTGGTTATGTTTCGTGAATATCTGATCAGTTGTTTTCCAGGCGCGCTGTTGTTAACTCGGCTTTAATCGTGTAAGCGGTCTCAATGATTTTCGCTCGAATGTCAGTATATGGTTGGGGAACGTGACTTTTAATACTCGGAAGAGTGCCACAAACGAAGGCACAGTTTGGGTTCTCGATTGTAGAGTTGACTTGGTCAGTGGACAATAACGCCCACTTCTCATAATGTATGGGTATAAGAGTGTGTAAATATGTAGGTTGTGTGTAGCGAAATTCGATACTTTTTCCCTTCTCTAGGGCTTGGTGCTTTCACCCATTAAAATAATTGGCAAGAAACACGCATTTTTTTATAAAAATAATTTATTCAAATTTCGTAATGCTATACCATTTGGAAAAGGAGCTACAACTAAATGTGAAAAATACCATATTTTTAGTCGCAGCTTTGTACACTAAATTACTAAATCGTTAGAGGCTAAAAGCGCTTTTAACTTAACTGTAAGAATTGCAAACAAATAAAAAAAAATTGTAAAAAATATAAACAAAAAAGAATAGAATATTTTCATATTGCGACAACAGTATGACAAAAAAGTTTGGACTAGATCAATTTAACGGTTACAGTAATATATAACGGTTTACATACATTTAACATACCGTTGGCGCTCTGCAAAGCACCGTTATGTTTTGTTTTTTTATTTTCAATGAAAATACTGTGTTTCACATTTGTCCCAATACAATTGTAGGTAACTGTTATTTGGAATGCTCTGAAATGGTCTTTGTTTTTGCGTTAAATTGAGGTTATAAGCTTGCAACGTTTTGAATTTGTTTATAATTTTATCGTTTTAATTAGCTATGTATATTTGTGTTACACGTTTGTTTGTTTGTTTATATATGTACTATATAGTTTGGAGTAAAATAAACGCAATTAATATTTAATAAGTAGTATATGTTGGTATGTATGTGCATATATATATATACATATATGTAATTGTTATTAATTTAACAAATTGACTAAGCAGAAGAAGCGCTATTTATAAAGTAACTACTTACTTCTTAAAAATTTTGTTGTATTTGGCAAAGTATATATATAATTACATAAATACAATATATATTGGGCAGTCGAAAAAGTCTTTTCGTATTTTGTCAATAGATGTCGTTGGAGTCCTATATCTCCTATATCGACTACATAGTGTTGGAACGAAATACGAAAATACTTTTTCGACTACCCAATATGTACACACATACATATGAGCATGTATGTATAGCATATAGGCATATATGTACGTTTATTTAAAACTAATATTAATTAATATATACTAAGGCTGACTGCAAGTGAAAGTTTTATGTAAAAAAATTAACGGAACCTGCGAGAGGAAGCGCATTTTTGGAAATGAAAATTGCTAGCGCTTGTCTGCTTAACACGCGAGTAGTGTTTGACTACTAGGTCTACTTCACTGAGTAATTTCGTTTGATGACAACAGCCGAGCTTCACTGCTTTACCGTTTTATATTTGAACAGCTGATATAGTAAGCCTTGTTTGTAAATACTCGATATATCAAGGACCGATAGGCACCAAAAAAAAGTTTTGTTGTCTGTTTGGTGGGGTTTCACAAGAAAATCGTTTATTTTGAGCTTTTACCCGACTATACCACGATCATTTCTGAAGTGTATTGCGGTCAGTTGGAGAATTGAGCCCAAGATCAAAAATTTCATGAGCGTGGACTCATTATCTTGAGCGAAAGATGGCAAAAGTTATTGGATCAAAATGGAGAAAATTTAATTTCAAAAAATGTGTTACAAATTGTTCTAAAAACCGAAATTACTTAGTGAACGAGCCAATATTATTCGATTACGTTCGCGATTTCGAGCACTTTTCTTGCCATTTCGCCTCGAATTCTAACCGAACGTTACCCCAGAGCAAGATTTTTTAACTTTCTGTTCAGGTTTGAGTCTTATTGATTTTTATAAGAAAAATCCAAATAATTTGAATGCATTTGTGCAAAATAAATATACGCTCCACAAATTAAGTCTACAGTAAACTGTGGTTGCTAAAGACACCGATTTTTCACGCTCAAGCGCTCGGGGTATATTAAACTTAATGCCATGGAAAATTGTGAAAGCGTTTCCGCAGCAAAAGGCTTACTTAGGATACACAAAAATATATATATTTTTTTGAATATCCTTTTTATACACCACACAGTCAAGCGGTGTCGATCGCAACTGATTTCCAGAAAATTAATTTTATTAACTAAAATATTTTTTTTACGGCCGCGTATTTGTGTTTGCAGTTATTTTGCAAGGCGGTACATTGTTCAAGCTAACGAGTATTGACTGTATTATTTTTATTATGTAATTGTTTGTTCCTTTTTTAACTTGAACTTTTAAATATGAATCCATAAACATAGTACTTCTTCATTTTGCTTTTCCTGTCGATTATTTATGTACGTATGTACCACATGTATAACGGTAATGCCTACATACTCTACACTTATGAAATAACATCAGCCTTAAAGTTATGCACCTAACTCTCCGTCCGTGTATAGAGATGAAGAAGAAACTTACAAATTCTTATTATGGTAATTCAAAAGCGAATATCTCTCGTATAATACATTTTGAGAGCTTTTCAATTTACCGTTTTTTCCTCTGATTGTTGTTCGAATACACAAATTTTTATGATTTTCGTGTTTTTTTTTTTTTTGGTTTTGTTTGCTTGAGTTTTTAATTTTTCCATAATTTTTTATTAAGGCATCAATTGAATACAATTTCACATTGATTAAGGATTTATTTTTAGTTTTTATATTTTCGAAAATGCGCAAACAGCATTAGGGGATTTTGAAAAAAATATTTTTATCCGTCGTTCGCATTGAAAACATTTCTAAAAACAACTTTTGTCATTCTTTAGTGTCCTGAATCTACTTCAGAAATGTTTTCAACCAAAACTATCTCGCATTTTCATGGATTTTTCATTATCGATTTACAGTTTGCAGTTCAATTTAAATGACAATTTTTGCATAAATTGCAAGCTTTGAGAACTTTTTGTTTCCAAAATATGCGGCAATAGGAATTGTGTATGATTGCTTACATGTTTGTATGTAGTTATATACAAATACTTAGCGTTTTAAGAGTTCATTCTTGCTATTAAATAGGTATGTACATATGTTTGGCAAAACCAATTAAGTGTTTAGGGGAATGATTGGCATGCTTGGAGTAATTAGCAAATCGCATTTGTTTTGCGTTTTTATAAATCTTTAAGGTGCGATTTCTGCAGACTGTTGGCGCTACTTAGCCTAGTTAAGCGCTATTCAGCTATGTTAAAATGTATTCAGGGCATTATATAGTATGTAAGCTTTGCGTATGATGTTTAGGCTGGTCCTATAAGTCAATAATGCGCTTTCAAAACAAACGTAAAGTTTATTCAGCGCCATTCAGCTTGGTGATAGAATTTCGCATTTGCACCAAAACATTGTAAAATGTGTACAACCGTGAAATTTACTTCATTCAGCGCTTTCAGCCTTTTGGGCTTGGCTTATTAGTCAATAATTCGCTTTCAAAACAAACGTAAAGTTTATTCAGCGCCATTCAGCTGGGTGATAGAATTTCGCATTCTAAAATGTGTTCATCCGTGAAATTAGTTTCATTCAGCGCGCTCAGTTGTAACTTTTTCCTGAATTTGGCATCACAAAGCAATTCAGCAAATTTAAATGTACAAAGTTAGCGAAATTTGAAAAGAAATAAATATTGATTTTTATTTTTATTGCTTTCCCGGTACATCAAAAGCTATTCAGCTACTTTAAAGGAGTTTTTTTGTTGAAAAATTTCGAGTCTGTATAAAATATGCTGGTGCGGATAATTTCAGCGCGCTTTTTCGTAATTCATCTCTTGTTTTAGTCGAGTTATTTCTGCTTAATAATATGATTACTAAGACGATTTCATATTCCCTAAATATTCGTATGTGAAGGACCTTAAAGCCTCTTATTGTGTTCGAAAAATTTATTATTCTAAAATTTTATCAACAAAGCGTTTGCTGAATACTCATTTTCAGTGATTTTCAAGATATGAAATGAAAATGTTGCACTGCTAACAGCTAATCGGGAGTGTGTTGCTTATAAATGCGAATGTATATAGATCAATGTTCTTAACATTTTGGAATACTACAACGGTCTGAAAGATAATACCTGCCTACTCGCTAAGTTGTAAGTTCTATGTACATCTCCTTTGGTTGTACGCCCTAATTATTTATTTAAAAGTGGAAACCGAAAATGTTACAGTAGATTATTGGGAACATCAAGCGTCCGTTTATGCAACATACAAGTTTTCTCCTGCTCACCGCGCTTGCGTTGTTTTTTTCTTATTCAATAATGGTTTTCGAGCATTAATCGCCTCCCACCACTTGCTTGCTTACAACCTATATTCGTAGTGCGCTGAACGCGATCTTCGTGCACCAGAATACCAGCGATAGGGGAGCTGCTGCATTGAGTGCTGCGCCGACGTTGATAGCTGCTGTTGCTGCGGCGAATTCAATGACAATGAACTGCTGACCAAAGCGCCTGGACTGCGCGCCAACTGCAGTGTTATATTGGTGAAGCGGGCGGCGCTGCCCTGCTAGGATGATGGTGGGGTGCCGGCGGACATGTCGCTGGTGTGGCGTCGCGATATGCGTCGATTGAAAAGCGATATTGTGGATTGATTGAGATAGCCGCTAGCGCTGCTGCTGCCGCCATTGTTGCTGTTGCTATTGTTAAAGCTGCCATTGCCGCTGCTCGCGTCCAGAAACGCCTCGGGGCTGAAACGCACACGGCTGTGCTGCGAGGAAATGGAGCCCTCTTTGGCACTCAGATACGAGCTGTCATCGCTGGTGAGCGAATCGGGGGGTGTGGGATTAGTGGGTGTGCCCTGCTGTGAAGAAATGCTGCCGGCGCGCTTGGTGACACCGTTGCCACTTACTACGGCAAGACCATTGCTCATATTGGCGCCCACCAATTCAGCGCCATTACCGGTATTAGACGCGGTGCCACCATTAGGCGTCTTATAGTTGTATTTTTTAAGCGACGAACGCAGTTTGTTGGAACCACTGCCATTGAAGCCCAGCGCCGCTGTCGCCTGTTCGAAAGGGAGCGAAACTGGCCGCTCTTGCGCGCTTAACGGTTTCATGTGTACCGGACTCAGCGGCGTTGATTGCGCGTGTGTGGTGTGTGTGTAGAGACTATGCTGCGGTGTACTAAAGAGTGACTGATGTTGCTGCTCGCGTTCGCGATGCAATTGCTGCAGATGTTGCTGCTGGGCCAAGGTGTTGTGAAACTTTGTCCGGTGCAATGGGCTACCAATGTACGCGGGTAAATTTTCATAGTCGCGAATGCGATTTAAGCCGCCTCCTGTGTCGACACCACCCATGCTGCCGCCTGCACCACCGCGCTTCAAGCGCTGTGCCATCTTCGGTGAGCTCTTATACAGCTCATGTTTGCTGGGCGGTGGCACTACGCCAATCGGTGCAGGAGGAGGTGGCGGTAGTTCGCGGTAGTGCGCAAAGTCAGGCGCCCCGCCGGCGCCCATATTAATGTTCAGTTGTAAATTGAGATTGTTGTAGTCATACAAATCTGGCGCATGCAGCTCATCCTGATCGAAAGAGAAGCCCTGATTGATGTTAGAGCTATTGGAGATAGTTGATGGTGTGCGCCGGTGTCCAGCAGCGCTGACGCCCATTTGCGGTACGCGCGGCGGCGGTGTGCGCGTTTGATAGTGTTGCTGAGCTTGTTGCTGCTGATGCTTTGGCGTTGATTGCTGGTGCGGCTGCTGTGGGTCGTAGTTGTAGTCGTAGTAATTGGGCAGGCGGTGATTGTAGTCGTAAGAGTAGTCAGGATACGATTTACAGTCGCGTTGATACGCCAACTGCACCTCTGGCCGATACGGAAAATAGTTGGAGCCTGAAAGAGAAACAAATGTAAAGAAAGTGCTGTGTGTGAATATTGTGCGTCGCATAAGTACCGAAGTAGCCAGCACGATGCACGCCTGCGCCATAAGCGCCGCCATCATTGGAGAAGCTCGGTCCGTGACGCAAATAATCAGCGCGCGTATATTGCGTTGCGGAGGGTGGCATGCCACTGCCAGCGTTAAAGTCGTCATCAAAACGGCGCGTTGGTGGCGTGTCATCTTGTAGCGAATACTCGAGATTCTCAGTAAATGAAGAGGTGCTGATTTTCCGACGCGGCGATGGTGTTGGAGGCTGCGTATGACTTCCCAATGAAGACGAAAGCAGCGCGGAGGTATTGTTGGTGAAATTGGAGCCTAAGCCGCTTGTGGTGGAGCCGGTTAGTGGCAGCTGTTGATGTTGCAGTGTTTGCTTCTGCTGTTGCAATGCTAACTTGCTGTCGGCTGGGGGCAACACATGCTTTTGGAAGTAAAAGCTGGGCGTAGTGCCATGCAGTTTGGGCGAGCCGCGCGGATTCGGATGCAGAGGAGTGCGTTGTTCCTCTAAACGCGTGAATGTGGCTGCAGTCAATGTGGCACTATGCATACATGAAGGAAAAACTTATAAATAGCTGTGCCAGCTACAATTATTGCTTACTCACCGATTGTGCTTGTTGCCAGTGCCATGATAAGTGTTGGCGGCAAAGCGGCTGCGCTCATCCAAAACGCTTGGAAACTCCATTTCCATGGGTGCCTTTAATGCGGGCACATCACTAAGCAACATTGGATGCACCGGTGACACGTTCGAGATGCGCACGTCATAGCCAGCGGCGACGCCGGCAAGCAGCGCGGCCATATTGTAGAGCAGCACTTCGATGACGGAAAGCTTTGGCTTGCGCACCGCATCGCCGGCGTACAGCGTGGGCATGGGAATGTTGGAAGTAAAGCGGCTCAGCAGGTAGGGATTGGGCGACATAATGGGTAACGGCGCGTCCACGATGGAAGTGCCGGCGCCAGCGGCGGCTGGCAGCGCGTGTAAAGGCGAGCACCAGTCTTTGGAATTGTAGCCTGCACGTGGCGCCGGTGACAATGCGGCATAGTTTTTGGGAAGAGTATAAAAATATCGTTTGTGTGAGTAGAATAGAAATTGAAAAAAGATAACGGCGCTGACCATAGTCGAAGGAGCGTAGATATGTGAAACTAAACCGCAGACAAACCAAAAGTTAGGAAAAATCAAAATTATAAAATTCAAAACCAGTACTAACCAACACCAATTTTGTTGCAACAATATTGAAACTCAAAACTTAATTGTAAATAAAACTAGAATACAAATCATTTATTGCTTGTCGTTTTTTTTATAATTTATTTTTTTGTTTTTATGTTTTTGTATTTTTTCTAGAAATTTTCGAGGGATTATGGTAACTTTTTTTGCGTATTCACTACTAATTTTGCTTTATAAAATGGAATATTTATCGTAGCTTAAAATAGTGTAAAAATTACTTTCTAAATGTAGTGGTAGAAAAATGTAGACTTTTTTTTTTTGGAACACACTGTAGAAAAACAAAAGTTCAAACAATTTTAGTGCTGCAAAACTGTGGGAAATCGAGCGACTTTAAGAAATATTAATACAATTGTTAAAATTTTGATACAATTTAAATAAAATTAAAGCTGAAAATAAAATTACAATAAAAACATACAACTCTGCCTAAATAAAACAAATGCGTGGTCTGCAGGCAATTTAGGAGCGATGGGCAATAACTTTTGAATTTAAAATTTTAAGATAAAAATTTTGAACCGTCTATTTTGAAATTATGAAAATATTTAAAAATTTTGGAAATTTGTTATATTTTTAAATCATTTAATTAAAAAAATATATATATTATTTCAATTACTAATTGACAATTTGAAAAAATATATATAATTTGAATTTTAAAATATAATTTAAAAAAAATATCGCTGACCCTGGCTGCCGACCACCCTACAGACATACGCATGCCAGTGAATACCATATAAGACACTTTAAAAGCATTACATTTTTTTTCGAGACATAAATAATTTATGTTAAGTTTTTCATATTTTTTTGTAAATAATACCCAATTGAACCTAAAAATTTGAAAAAACTACTCTTGCATGCATACATATGCATATGTACGTATGTATGTAAAGTACCAAAACAAAAACATGGATAAAAAAATTGTAAATAAATTTTTAACCAAAAGTTTGTTTTTAAGTGATGTCGCCTATTGCGTATTGGCACTGTCAAAATTACAAAAACAAAAATTCACAATCGTTTGGGGTTCGTAATAAATTATACAATAAGAAAAGGGGACAATTTGCACAGCTTTTACATTCTTTTTTTTTACTTTGTTTCAGCTTGTGATCACAGTTTTTCCAACAAAGAGCGAAATATTAAAAAAAAGTGTATCTAGAAAAAATTTCTAAAAAAAAAAATTACAACGAAATAAAAGTTGTTTAAGCAATAATAATAATAATAATAAAACATTTACAGTGTACAAATAAATATGTAGGACTTTCATTTATGAAATCAAATAAAAGTAACATTGTTATAAACTTAAAAATTATGCAAAACATTGCAGCGCCAACGGTGTTGAAAATGACGGTGATAATGTGACGTACTCCGCACCAAAGCTGTGACATGAAAAGCTCAAGGAATACGCGTTTATATTTGCTTTAGTTTTTGTTTACGTTTTTCTACTATTTCTTCTTAGAGGCACACAAAGTCTTATACTTTAGGCTTAAAACTACATTTATTTCCGGCGTTTAGTTTTTTCTTGTGCTACATGCTAACTTAATTGCGTACAAGTGTTTTTGTTTTTGTATTATTATTGTATTTTAATTCGCATAAGTTCAATAATTTGCCATTCGCCGAACTTTTGCGGAACTAATTCGCAAAACTGTTTGCATAAACACCCTTTCTCATCAATTCACCACACCACATGGTGTGTGGTGAGTATGCTTGCGTTTCGCGTTCAAAATAAATGCATGAAAATGCAAATGCGCGCAGCGGCTCAGTAAGAAAGTCTCGAAAACGTTCAATAATACCGTTAAGCACCCAAACGACTGTGGTCGACGCTTTAAATATTCCGCGTTAACCGAAATGAAATTCACTTTGCATTAATTTTTTAAACAAAAGTTCCCTTAGCGCACAAATAAAATATACTTAGTCCCTTTCGCCGTTCGCGCTTACATTTATTTTCGCCTTCGCCTCATTATACCGTAACATTTCAAAGCACTTTATAAAATGTAGCTCACAACAATGCCTTTAACGGCGTTTAGTATTTTCTAACCACACTTTTGACAGTTAAACTTTCAGCGCCGCGTTGCGCACGCACTACAGTTGCTCGCATGACTTCGCTTTCGCCTTCGCTTTGACGCGTGTTTCGTGCACGAACTCCGAGTTGGCGTTTTCGAATAATTTGTATTCACTTTCCGATTTCTTTTTGCGTATTGTGAAGTAGTTTAGTATGTTTTGCACTTTATGTTGAAATGATACCGACGCTGTCGTCGTCGCACCGGGTTCTTTCGCTTTGCCGCTAACTTTTTTCGTGTGCATTTTGTGCTTGCGCGCCTTAGCTTCCTGCGCCAAGAGCAGACTCTGTTTCATGCGCAAAACCTCCGGTGCCGGTTGCACATCCTGCAGCTTCAGGTCGTGCAGCAGTGAGCCTTTTGGCATGGCAGTCGTTGACGTAGCAGCTGCGTGTGGCGAAATTTGTTGCGAAGTTGCGCCACCGCTGTTTGCGAACTGCTCGGTCTTGTCTGTGTGGAAATGCGTGGCGTCAGTGTCGGTGGAATTGAAGGTTGTGGAAAAACTGTATGACTGGTTGGCGCTGGCAATGGTGCTGTTCGCTTGCTCATCGTTCGAGTTGCATGAGTTCGTTTGCGAGGCGGAGGAGTTCAGCTGGAAGGTTACGGACGATTTGCGTGACGTCTGCGCGGAGTTAGTCGTGTCGATAGAAGAGGACTGGTCGGAGCATATCGAATTGAAATGCTCATCGCCCGAGTATGAACGAAATGAAGCGTTGTGTGATGCGTTGGTTCCCGCCCCGTCGTCGTCCGCAGCCTCGCCCGCATTTGACGGTTGTCGGAAGAAACACTGACGTGGAAATTGCGAGCCGGAAGCGTTGCGCTGAAAGCGGTATGTAGACTCATCGTCAGCGGCGTCCTCGGTGAGTTGGGAAGTCGAGTTGTATTTGGTCAAATCGCCACTGGACTTCGAATTGAGACGTTCAGAGCGCTGACTGCCAAATCGGCTTGCTGGCGCGGGCAATGAGAAAATTTCTTCCAAAGACTTTTGTATTTCGCGATAGAAAGCACGATCGTACGTCGGATCGTTGGGCTCGTTAATCAGATTCGTCGCGCTGCTGGCGTTGCTAGCGTGGTGTATAGATTGTGGCGCGTGTTTATCGAAATCGGACAACAACATCACGATTGGCAACATCTTCGCTTGTCGTTGTGCGTGTTTCTGCTGCCGCTCGATCGCTAGCAGTTCGCTATCGAGTGAAAGTTTCTTGCGCCCGACGGCTGGGCTGTTGCCGAGACTGCTGAAGCCGCTAATCGCATGTTCGGAAAGTGGACTGCGATCGTGGTAGGTGTAGGGCAACGGCGGCTGCTGCGTCACTGGCGATACCTTGCGGAAGGGGAAACAGCTGACGGTGGGCGTAGGCGGTTCGGTGTCGGTATCACTCTGATCCGACGACGGGTAGTCCGGCGCAGGCACGAACTGATATTGCAATAGCGTCACGGGCGAGCAGGGGTAGCGTGCCGGCAAATTTAAGCCATCCTCCTGACTGCGTACCATAGGCGGCACAGGCTGGAGGCTTTGTTGGCGTAGAAACTGCTGCTGTTGTTGTTGCTGGCGCAGTTGCTGCGCCTTCAATTTCTTATTACTACACAAACTGAGACTTTTCACACCTATAGCGCTGTTGCCAGAATTCTTTCTGCTACCGTTATTATTGTGACTATGGTTAATGTTATTGTTATTGCCGTTATTCCTACGGTTATGGCTATTATTTTGGATCAGTGTACTAGTACTTGCATTACTACTACTATAACTATTACTATGATTACAGTTGCTTTTGTTTTTATTATAAATGGTCGGGTCAAGTATGAAGTTATTGGCGGCAAAAGTGCCGCTATTGTTGCTGTTATTACTCGAATTACTATTGCTATGATGTGGGTGTTGTTGATGCTGTTGATGCTGAAGCTGATGATTATGGTTACTAGTATTATTAATATTTATGATTGAAGTGGCATGCGGATGGTCGTTTGTATTATTGAGTAATGGGAACGTCACCAGCGATGATGAATTGGGCATATTGTTCGTTTGGTTGGACGTTGCCGTCGACGTTAGCGCCGTTGTTGGTGTTTGCGTTGGTGTTGTGTTGCAACTGTTGTTGTTGCTGTTGCTATTTTTGTTGTAATTGCCTATAATACAAATACCTGACTCATTGTAGCCGATGCAGGCGTCAGATGCATAGGTCGGTGTGGTAGGCGAGCATGGCATCGAGCCGAATTTATACTCAAAATGGTGCGCATGCGAATGGTGCGACGTCAAATGTTGTTGGCGGTGATGGTGTGGCGAATGCTGGCGCAGTGCGTGATGCGGCAGGTGGCTGTGGTGCAGATAGTGCAGTTGAGTGGGTCGCACCGCCTTCTTGTCTAGATTTGGTGCACTCTTGCTGAACAAGGAGTTGGTGGAAGCTGGGCCGGACCATTCGGTGGCAAGCAGCGCCGGCAGGTGGGGACGCTCGCGCTGGTGCACCGTCGAAGGACCCCACGTCTTGCCTTTGTAGCCGTCAGGGGGCAGTTGCGGTGGCGTGACTACGCGGGCGTGAGCACACGCACACATATACACACAGGCGAGGAATGTATGAAATAATAAAAATAAGCGGAGAACAAAAAAGAAAACCGCAAAGAAAAAAAATTAAATTAAAAAAAATTTAATTAAAACTGAATAGTAAATAAAATTTAAAACTACTGTTTAAGAAAAACAAAAGTTTAAAAAGTGCCAAAATTTTTAGAATAGAATATGTACAGAATCAACAAATATTTGACAAAGCTAAATGTGCAAGCGATTTTAAAATTTTTAAGACATTTTCATAGCTTTCGCCAATTCAGCATCAAATTTTTTTAAGAAACACTCACGTTTTTCCCCTTTATAGTAGTAATTTTACAAAATTAAAAAAAAAAAACGTTTACTCACGTGCCACGATGCGCACTTGGGAAATCGCTGGTGAGCCAGGCGGTGTATCAGTCAAGGGTTTGTCGTGTATTGCTGTCACTGTGTGCCGGAAGTCGGTTGGGAGTGAAATTTGCACTTCGTTCTTTTTAAGCAACTGCAAAAGAAAGAATTTGTTTTACTGTTATTTTACCACCCATTTAGCTGTGCAATGCTTACTTTAAGTTTCACTTTGCTAAACTTCCCACGCCTACGATTCGGTGTGGGCGTTTGTTGTGCAATTTGAAGCTCGCGCCCGATTAAAGCCATCTCGCGCAGCTTTAACTGCTCGGCGAAGCGTTTCAGATTCATGGCCTGTTCGTCCTGTTCGCTCTGAACACGATTCAAGCGTTCCTCTTTGGTGCGCAATTCCTAGGATGGAGTAAACACGTTATTAAACATTTAAAACTTAAACAAAATAAAAGGCGCAGGCGTACATGCAAGCCTCCATTGCTTCGAATAGTTAAAAAAGTAAATTAAATTTTAGTTTTGATTTAAGTACTTTAATGCAAAAACGAAGGGTTAAGCAAAAGTTCAGACTTTTCGCCGAAACTTAACGTATTTGTACTGTAATATTGGTCTTTGAGTCGTTTTTATTTTTCAATTACGTGCATATTATTTGCATATTTGTGAGCAAATCGTCAGCATAACCAAACCAGAATTAAGGCATCAGCAAAATAAAAAAAAATAAAAAATTGCCACATTCGACAAAAGGCATGCACATAAACTAGAAATATTAGAAAAATTAAAATTATAAAAGAAAAAAATGATTTCCATCAAAATTGTAATGTAATACAGCCCATTAGCGTTTTATTGGCAAATTGTCGGCAAGAAAATGTAGCGTCTTGCTTACCTCCTCGATTGCTTGGAAACGCTGTGTGAGACGTAATCAAATGAATCAGAGAATATGTTACGATTTGTTCAAATATGCAAACAAATTATAGAAGTACAGGAAGAAGACAAAATTAAGAACGTGTAAATGACAAGGTCGAACCGCCAAGTACATAACGGAAAACTACACACTATCAAATTACAAAAATTTACAATGTACGCGCCTAAAAACAAACACGCACACACCTCACAAATCACTAAATGCGTTACAACAATAAAATGTAATCGGCTATACAATTCCAGACAAAATACTATAATATACGGCTACATTAAGTTTTTTTTTTTGTTTTCTTTTTTGCTGCAAGCCACACACCTTTTCTTTCAAGCGCAACTCTTGCAGCACTTCGGCTATCTCCTTCTTCCAGGCATCTTGCATAGTGTTGAACGATTCCTGTGGCGTCAGCGTGAAACCTGAACGTGTAATGTCTTCCAATTTCGTTAGTATGTCCCTGAAACCCGGTCGCTTATGTGGGTCATTCTCCCAGCAGCCTGTGACAATATAGACAAAATTATAATTTTTTTTATTTTAAATAACCCAACTCGAGTACACACTTTTCATGAGTTTTCCCCATGCATCCGGGCAAGTTTTCGGTATAGGCAGCGTTAGCATATTCACTGCAATGCCAAATACGACTGAATACGAATCGAAACCTTTGTATGGCGTTTCGCCTGTGATGAGCTCCCACAGCAGCACACCGTAGCTCCAAACATCCGATGATCTGGAGTGTAAAAATAATGCATATGAACAAAAGGGTATGTAAAAATAAATTTCAATTCCGTGGAGGGGGAATATGACACTTACTTGGAGTACGTGCTACTCTTTATCACTTCCGGCGGCATCCAAGCGTATGTGCCCGCCGTTGATATGCGTGTTGTGTTGTAAAGCTCTCGCGCCAAACCGAAATCGGTGATCTTCAGTGTTTTATTGTGCAGATTGCCGGCAAAGATTTCTTCCAAAATGAGCACTGTAAATGGCAACACGTTTTAAAAGCGAAATAATTAATTTACTGCGTGATAAAATAAATTTTAACAAAACATAATTAACTTAATGAGTTTAATAAATTAAGTGATATAAAAAGTTCTATATAAAAATATAAAATATATTTTCGCATAAACGCCGCTGGCACGTTATCAAAACATATCTTCAATCCACACGGGTAAACATTCGGCACTCACCATTGGAACTCTTCAGATCACGGTGTATAATCGAGATGGGTGCTTCGTTGTGCAAATAATTCATGCCGCGTGCTATCTGTATTGCCCAGTTAACCAGCACATCGGGTGGAATCTTACCACGCGCCAAAATGTGGTTTAAACTGCCGCCGCGCGCATACTCCATCACAAGACACAAATCGGGCGGCTTTAGGCAGACGCCACGCAGTGCCACTATGTTTTCGTGTTTAACGACCCAGAATAGCTTCGCTTCTTGTAGCACATTGTCGCGATTCGATTCAACATCGGGACCGGCTTGCGGCGCCACCTTGATGGCAACCTCTTCGCCGCTGTAATAGCCGCGATGCACCTTGCAAAAGCCGCCGGCGCCTATCACCTCGCCCACCTCGAGTTCGGCATAGTCAATTTCGTGCGGTTGTATGTCGCCAATAGCTGAGGGCACGTCCGGCAGCATAGGATCTTGGTCTGTCACAAAGTTACTGGGAAAAATGCCGACCTAGGGGAAGATTAGAATGTTTCAGTGTCAATAACAAAATATATATATAAAATATGTATGTATATGATTGCTAGTGGTCAATAGTTTCGATATAAACAAAGCAATTCGCTAACATTTGTATCTATTTTTTTTTAATCATAGGTACTCATTTTTTAATAAAAAAAAAAAATTTTAAAAAAATTAAAAAAATTTTTTTTTTAAATATAATTATTTATGTATTTCATCGATTTCTGCAAAACTTTACAAATTTTAATCCTAAAAAAAAGTTGAAATCTCAGATGCTGCTAACGTTTCAAGTTGTGCAGAGATAACGTTTAGATAAACACTAAGCGTTCTTATCATTGTTGGGCTGCAAAATAAGCAGTAGGCGGTGAAGCAGCATATTTGTAGAGCGATAAAAAAATGTCGTCAGCACATTAAAACATTGCAAAGAAGAAGTGATAACGTGCGAATATGAAAACGTTGCTTATTAATTCACTTTATTACATAGCAAACATATGTACATATGTATATGCGCAGTGACGTCACTAATCCCCACACTACATTCGACAAAAATTTCAGGAATAATAAAATACAAATTCAGGAATAATAAATAAACCGGAACCCACACTGATTGGTACTAACCTTATCGCCAATTTTGCCCGTCCACCAGCCCTCATCACCCGAAATATTGCTATCCATGGATAGCACCACTACAATCTGACCGCGACGCAGTGTCAACTCATCCTCGCCTTTGGCATCGTAATCGTAAAGCACCGACCACAGCGGCCCGTCTGGCAAAGGTGGTAACTGTGTTGTTTCGTGGACACTGCTGCTGTTGTTATTGCTGCCGGCAGTTTGTTGACGTTGTTGTTGGTTGGTAACGTTGGCATTGCCATTGGCATGCACTTCTCCGTTGCCATCGCTATGGTTGCGTGCGTGTGACGCTTCCGAGTGTTGATCCTCGTTGATAGCGAGCATTGGTTTGGTTTCAGGCGGCAAGTGATCGTTATTGGTTAAACAGTGTGCAGGCATATATGTGATTAACAGGTGCTTTCCAAAATTAAAAAAAGGTAACAAAAAATATGTTGTCCAAACGTTAGAGGGTGTCTATTGTCCTCTAGCGCCAGACGACAGTGGGCGTGCAGAAAGTCTTCCGTACATCCGTTTATAAGCCATTCGTAATTAGCTCCGTAAAGCTGTTTCAGACTGCTGTAAAGAAATGATAAACGTAATGACAATTGGCGTGAATGTAAAACATTAGATATATAGAAGAGTTTCGTGTTTGAATTGTCTAAACGGTATTGAAATTCACGACATGGACACAGAGCTATTGAAAAAATAGCTTGTATGTGATATTAACTCCTTATTGTCAAAACAATAGGCACAGATTATCAACATACTAATTGCATATATTTTGGGAACTTCGTCTTTGTAAACACTTTTATCAAAAGTGGATAACCAATATTACCTGGAGTTTACGCAGTCAGTTTGCTCCACATCTATTCTAATCCCCACTACAGTTTTTATGCTTCACAATAGTTTCGATTTTGTATAAATAAAAAAAATTCGCCTTACGTCTGGCCCGCAGAAATATCTTTTATTCGCAACTCCGTTCTTCTTCTTCGTCGACTATGTCGTTTTGGTTTAGTGCTGTTCTTCTTCCCTATCCTTTATACAATATACGCAATATATGTATATACATAAATTTAATATTTCTCGTTTGCAACAAATAAAACAGTCCTATTTAGACCGCATTCGTCCACGTTAATGCAGTTTTCATCAATCCGAAAGGATTTGGATATTTACACCAGTGCTTGTCACAGATTTTTATTTTTATCTTTGCTTTTCTTTTTATTTTTTGCTTCGTCGTCGTCTTCTTTTTCGTAGTCGTGCAGCAGAGAAATTACATTTTCACTAATTCATGTGCACCACTTTGGTTTCGTTCGTTTTCGCGTCGTTTAATATTTCAATAATTTATAAAATTTAGTTATTTTTATATGTTAATACGCAATCGTTGCGTTTCCGATTAGTTTAATTAAGAATTTATCGCGTTTTTGTGCAAATTTAAGTCATTTGCAAATCTTCGTTCTGAACTGCTACTTTTCGGCTCCACTTCCACTTCATACACTGCATGTCGTCTTTTGATTATTCTCTTTTGTGCTTCCATTTCTACTTCGCCTTTTTTGTGTTGCCACCGGATAATAGTGCGCGGTTGCATGATGGACATTTGTTGGCAGTTTGCAAATCGATTATACGAAATATATTTAATTTTCGAAAATGAAAATAGGTTGCGACAATTTTTAAAACTATTTTATCCGTTGAACGCATTCACTTATTATATATTTGAATATTTATTGCAAAAACATGTAAATAATTTTTTTATAACCCAAATATAATGGCAGCACGCTCTTTGGGTTGGTGTCTTCGCTAGCTATATGACAATCGACAAGAACCGTTGTTGGTGTCTTTACTTCCGTCATATGGACCGCCATTTTGCAGCTGTCCGTAAATTAGTTGAACATCTGTTGGCATCCTTTGCACATTCGCGAAAAGTGATTTCTTTTTTTACTTGCGCGTGTATAGTAATTTAGCGTTTGTCTTATCAGCGCCACAGCGTGCGGGTTGGTGGTTGCTTGCTAGTGAATCGGTAAGTTGTTTGTGGTGCTCAATAAAGTCTCCAAAGGGCAGGCATGCGTGTCAGCGTCAAGACTTGCTGCTCTTGCATCCAGCATCTCTCGTTGTCCACGCGTGATTTCCGTGTTGAATGCGACCTAATGGGAGACAAGCGGCCACATGTACAGCCCATTGCTCGTGCTCCACAGCTGAGCAAAGCGGAGCTGTCGTCCTTCTGTTCGTGACTGCTGCTGCCGCGGCGATGTGAAAATTTTGTGTGATATGCAAACTCGTTCAGTAACGGGCAGGAATCTAACGAAATCGTACACGAAATGATAAGTGCCGTCGCGTGTGTGCTTTGTGCGCTTAGCAATTTTACAGAATTTTTACAAAATAGCAGCAATGCAAATTTTGTATTTGCTTAAAAACGTCTTGGCTAGTTGTAGTGGCGTTATAACGGTGTATGCTAAAGGTGGCAAAAAATTAAGTTGTAATCGTTGAAAGCCAGACCTCATTGTCGAAAAAAATTCAAAAAGTATGTGCAGATAAATGTGTGTGTGTAAAAAGTAGAAGAAAAACGCAAGTTTGCAGATGAGAAATGCTGGACGCGGTGGCGAAGGCAGCCGAAGTGTGCGTTTGAAAAAGTTGCAAGCAAGGGCTGCTGCGGCCCACTCCGCACACGCCCTATTTACCCACTTAGCGAGTGACAGTCGGTGGTTAGCAGCGGCAGAGCCAGCCGCACGAGCGTGAGCAGCTGTTGAAAATGCGTGTGTGCGTCAAAAACATGCAAAAGTCGCAAGCGCAAATAAAAATTAGTTTTCGCCCAATTTCTGGCTGCAGGGCATGATTGTGCAAATACAGCAGAAAATTAGTTACTTAACCTACAAAAGTGGCAACACAATGTGCAAATAATGTCGTGTAGATACTTAAATGTGTGCATATGTATGCAAGCCTGTGTATTCAGCGCTCGCCTTGACACATGTTGGCAGGACGAATGGCGAAATGTATTTTTTTTGCACTGGTCGCCGCACTTTCAAGTCGCAAAGCCGCAGCGCGTGCTAGGTGGGCGTTTAAGCGTTCTTGCTATGCTTGTGTCGACGCAATTTATAGCCACATGTTTATGCATTAACCCATGGCGGTGTTAACCGCAAAATTGAAACGCTGCGACGGCAACTTTGCTTACAACGATAAATCTAATTTATTAAGCATGTATGCAAAAACAACAACAAAACCGCCAACTAATTAATTGTACGCAAGTCACGCCACGACAGCTGCCTATAGTGCGTTTTGGAAGCGTTCACGTCTTTATGAGTGCGTACATAAACTGTATATGCATATATTTATGTGCATTATGTACACCTCCATATAGCCATACATATGTGCAAAAAATACAATGTGAATACGCGCCAACCATTTCTGGCATGCCCCAAAGCGTAGAGCGTAAATTTGACGTCCGGTAGGTAGTCGCACCCGATATGAAACTGCACCAACAATAACTGTTTCCAAGGCGCTTCCCTTCAACTTCAGCAGGCTTGGTGCTTTGTACGTCCACCGCATTGTTGCCACTTATTATCGCATACATATTCATTTGGCAAGCAGCTGCGTATAAGTATCAGCAGCGCATATAAAAAGCAATGTCAACAACAACAAAACGTTAATACAAGCTGCCTAACATTTTTGTGTCACTGCCACGACTGCTGCTTCAATCGGTGCTGCTGCTGCTTCCAAATCTTCGTCTGCCATTTTTGTTACAAGCTCCTGAGACTAGTGTTGCCTTGACGTTTTTGTTTCTTCCCAGTTACAACACAACATGATCGTTATCGCAGCTAACTCTTCGGTTGCTCCGTTTTGAGCAGCACTGCCGCAGCTCTTTTTGGGTGGAGGCGTGCCGCTTTTAATGGCTTGTTAGCTTTAATAAACTTCGTAGTAGTTGTTGTTGTGATATTTATTGTTATCCTTGCTCGAGGTGTTATATATCTAACGAGCTGTGCGAGAAGCGTGTGAGGCATTTGGCATTTCAAGAAAGGTTGTGGCGGTATTGTACGTATTTAGACCTCCCTAGAATTTGCTAAATATATAACAGGAGCTGGGTCCAGCATTACTGTCGCTTGTGTGTTATTATGCCATTCTGCAGGTCTGGCACTTGCGTTCATACTTTGATTTTCTTACAGCTATAGTCTCCGAACTCAATTGATATAAATATGTAACGGCTAATGTACCATTTGTACTTTCTTTATTTATGTAAGGCATGAAAGGGGTACGATTAGAAATCTATAACATGCCTAGAAACTCCTTCGATTTAATGCTACTTCCGGTAGTATTCACATCATTTCTAGAATTCATGACCGAGTTCCTGGTAAATATGATTGTTTCTGTTAATACTATTTAATTATATTCGTGAATTTAGCCGTACCCTCTAATTCTTTTTATTAAATCTTGAATTTGAGTTTTGTAGAATTTTATCAATTTTGACCGGAAATAATTTATAGTCTCAGCTCAATTTATGGTTTTGATCTTTTTGACCACATTTCAGATGAAAATAGATGAAAAGTAAACAGCATTTGAAAATGCGCCAACACCGCCACCTCCACCCTCATCCAAATGTGCAACTGCCTCCCCCTTGTCTACAGCGTTCACTCAACTGCTTATAGATAGCTCTGTCCACCGACATGTCCAGCCATTCATTCATTCATCCATGCCTTCACATAGACTCACCGCGCTGGTTGTCACCTGTCTCTTATACACATCTAGATGTGTATAAGAGACAGTGTCTACAGCGTTCACTCAACTGCTTATAGATAGCTCTGTCCACCGACATGTCCAGCCATTCATTCATTCATCCATGCCTTCACATAGACTCACCGCGCTGGTTGTCACATGGCCACGCAGCTGTCACTTGGGCTAGCGCCTACCTTTTGTAGGCAAAACTTTCATAACAGCATATCCTGGATGGATGGATGGATGCATAGCTGGTAGTGGGAGCTCATGTGCCTGTGTGTGCGTGTATGTGTTGGCATGTTGTTTGGTCTGCCTTCGTCAGTGTAAGGAAGTTTCAGTGCTGTTTCCGCTGCCATCTCATGTTTTCCATAAAGTTCTTGCTAATAGCGCCTCACATACGAGTATAGTATGTGACGTAGTAGTGGTTGTATCTTTTGTTTAGCGGACTTCCCGTGACAGTTGTGTCAATTTGAACATTTTGTAGCAGCGATGAAATGAAAATGCTGCCAAGCACAAGCGCTGATTGGCTTGGCTTGTTGTTGTAGTTACACGTGCGTATTCGTGCGTGTTGTTTTCTGCATCTATTTTTGGATAAATACCACATTTTAGGTGTTAGCTCGGAAAACATTTTAATAGGAGATTTTAAAGTCGTACTTCCTTAGGTTAGGTCACTTTATGGTCGTTTCCGAATTTCGCAAGTTGTGGTCAATGCAAAGCATCAACATGTACAAGAGAGTCTATTCTTCCTCTGCTATCATTCACTACTGGAGAATATCCATTCACCAGATATTTTGGACAAAGTATCTTAGCCAGCGTGAAAGAGATCAGAGTTCGGTGATAGAGATATATAAAAACTCTGCCCTCTGAAAAATTTTAAGTGTGTCCCTCACTTTTAATTACGTATGCGAGTATAATATATATTTGTAACACCCAGAAGACAACGGATATCGGACCACTATAGCATATAGCTGTCATACAAATTGATCTACCGGAATCAAATGGTCGGAATATGGAAACATTTTGATTTTACGAGATATCTTCACAGATTCTCCGAGGAAAACGGATCAAGTTTTTTAAAGTACCTTTTGTGTTAGTAATAATATAGGCTATAGATATAGCCAAATGAGTATCTCGAATTTATTTCTGTCTATAATTGTACGTTTATGAGCCATTTGCTCACACCCGTTGTGCGTTGTGCTCAACGGCGCGTAGACTTAGTTAATTATTAATTTAGTGCTTAAAGCCTATCAATAAATTTGCGTGCTGTCGAACTTCTCGCCGTCGTAGCTTTAAGCGCCTACGCAGCCGCGCCGAATACTTTAGACCATCTAAATATAGCCGAACAACGGGATGAGTGTTTGTGAAGTGCGTTTTTCTCTATTTTAGCAATATTGCCATTCCCTTGCCTTGATTGATTTAATTGAAATATAGAAATTTGCATGGTGTTTGAAATAATATTTAAATGTAACCAGTGAAAATCAAAAATAGTGTTATTTAAAGAGGAAATTTGAAATAATAAAGCAAATTAAAGTGTTGCATAGAAATTAACGAAAGTGAAATCTCCTCGCGAAAAGGTGCTCAAAATGCCAAGTGCAAACGTGCAAATGCATAAACCCTCAAAATTGCAACGCCTGCCGCAAGCTTTGTCGTGTCACGCTTCCAGCGCACATTCGCTGCAGCGACAATGAGCAGTTGAGGGCACGTGTCCGGAGGTGTAGTGCGTGCGTGTGTATTGCCCCGCTCATTTTCACAAGCCGTGCATGACGTAACGCTTAAAAGTTTTTGTGA